CACAGTTCTGAGGTGCCTGGGAATCCCTACCAGGGTGGTCACTGGCTTTACGTGGGCTCACAACACTAAGAGCAGCTTGAGTGTGGATGAGTATTATGATGAAGATGGGACACTGCTCACTCAGGACAAGCGTGCTCGTGTCTGGTAAGGAAACATGGCAGGGCTCAAGCAAGACTTTGAGACAACATCTGGATGTAAGAAGTGATAGAGGGGGGAGAACAAAGAGGTGAAAGAGCTGCAGGGAGGTGGATAGGAGACAGCTCAGCTGAGATCCTGTCCTTGATAAATTGGGCAACCCAAACTGAGGAGTGCTTTATTACTAGGGCCCACAAAGGAAGAATGATAGCCCAGTCCAGCCAGAGATACTCCACTTGTATCAAAAAATGTGGTCTCTGCTCTCCTCAACATGCACTGAACTCTTTCAAAGGAGCATTGACCGGCTGTGGTTTGGCTAAAAATTTACTGTACCTCAGGGCCCAGTCCCTTGGTATAAGCTCGTGATGTCTCCTGCAGGACCTTCCACGTTTGGAACGAATGCTGGATGGCTCGGGCTGATTTGCCACTGGAGTACAGCGGGTGGCAGGCACTGGATGCCACCTGCCAGGAAAAAAATGAAGGTAAGATATCAGAGATGGGCTTGAGAAAGGGGGGAGCAGGGAGCAAATAAAGCAGTTCAGCATTCCTCCCTTCCCCAACTTCCAGTGAAAAGATGCAATAAGACAGGGACTCACCCTGTTGACTTTAGGCCCCAAATCATTATTTGTTTGGTTTATGCAGCTTATGTAGCTTTAAGAGCTCTATCACAGCACTGCTTCCTGATGTCTTCCTGAACTAGATACTTCACTAATCCCAGTATAGGTCTAAACTAGGGATGGCTTTAGCTGGTAAAGCATCTGAATCTTAACTAGGCCACGTTTTCTCTTCAGGTCGATCCTTCTGTGGGCCAGCCCCTGTCCACGCCATCAAGGAAGGGGACACAGAAGTCGATTATGATGTTTGCTACTTCTTTGCTGCCATCAATGCCAAGTGTCAGGTCTGGATACAAAGAGCAGATGACACCCTTAAGCCAGCTTTTGGTGGCACAAAATACACTGGCAACAACATCAGCACCAAGAGTGTTGGCAGTGAACGTTGTGAGGACATCACACACAACTACAAGTATCCTGAAGGTATGGAGTTGGCCAGTGGCTGAGCACCTTCCTTGGCAGTGTCACAAGTGAAGAGGAAAAGGCTAGAGAGCAGAGCCAAACCAAAACACCAGGGTCATCCACTTCTCACAACTTCTCCTTCTTCAATGGCACGAGAACACCCAACTCTGTCTACAGAACCAAAGCCTAAATTTCATCTGCTTAATTGCATTAACCAGGCCTGTGCATGGCTGGGTGTTTCTTTACCAGGCACTTCCACATCTGGAAAAACTTTTCTGATTCCTGTTGCCTCTACACTCTGTACATTCACCTCCCATTACCTCTGTAATAGATAGATAGATAGATAGATAGATAGATAGATAGAACTATTTCAGACCCCAGCTTTCTGAAAAGGACTGTTATGCTCTCAGATATTGCCTAAATCTCTCCCTCAAAAAGTAGCTTCAGAATGTGAGTGCTGTTTCCCTGACCCAACACTGCCATCTCATCTTAGGCTGTGGCATGTTGTCTCCTTGGCTGCAGTCCATCACATGAGAACACAGCCCTGTACCTCAGCTACAGCAATAGCTAAAGAGGCCACAGCATCCTTTACTCTGACAGATGTTAGCACCAAGGTGCTTTAAAAGCTATGACAACTCTTCCCAAGTAGAATCTGTCAGGTACATCCAATGAATATCCTGTCAGCTGAAATTCTTGAATTGCTCCAACCAGAAGCTCAAAAGGATATCTCTCTATGCTCTTAGAAACAGTTATCTACAGTACTGCCAGAATAAATCAATGCCTTTCTCCTGCACTTGCTGCTTCACACTAGTAAAGGATACTAAAATATGTGTTCCTTTTTGTGACAGGCTCTCTTAAGGAAAAAGGAGTACTTGACAAAGCCTACAGAAGTATAAGGAAACTTGAGACAACCACCAGCAGCAGCTCAACACTGTTTAGCTCCATTCCTATTTCCCTTGAAGAGCCAGTTAACCTTTCCCTCCATCTCCAGTCGAGTAGTTCTCTGCAACCGGGACAAGATATTCCACTTTCCATTGAAATGTCTAACCACAGTGGTGGAGAAAAGGCTACTCAGCTGGTAGTTGGGGTCCAATCTCTACATTATAATGGTGTGCCCATTACCCAGCTTTGGAAGGAAGAGTTTAATTTTAACCTCCAAAGCAATGAAGGTAAGGACTCTGCTGAGTGCATGGCTAGAAAAGTGTATCTAGTTCTCACTTCAGAAAAAATGCTCTCAGCCATAAGTTTACAAAAGGTTGTCCGAATAGTTGATTGTAAATGATTGCCCAGAGAGGTTGTGGAGTCTCCCTCATTGGAGATATTCAAGGACCATCTGGACACAATCCTGTGCCATGTGCTCTGGGATGACCTTGCTTGGGCAAGGAGGTTTGACCACATGATCCACTTCCAACCTTACCCATTCTGTGATTCTGTGAAATACAACACTTTGGCAACACCACCTTAGAGATTTTCAACCTGTGAATCCAGCTGGGATCACTTAAGCATTTAAATGCTGCAGCTTTCAGTACAATGTTGGGCACTAAACACTCAGACCAGACTCTGCTCATCTGTTATTTCACCACTCTATTCCAGTCCACAGCCTGAAGATCCTTGTGCCTTACTCATGGTGTGGAAAAGAGCTGGGGGAGAACCACCTGCTCAGGCTGACTGCTGTGCTGAGAGATGAGGCCTCCTGCTACATATACCTGGCACAGGAAGAGATCAGCGTTTCTGACCCCCTTCTCACTATTGAGGTTAGACTGGGCTGTCACTGTTACTGCAGTAGGGAGAAAAGAGCTTTCACAGCCACAGGCAGCAAAACAACTCTGCTGGCTCAGTGGCTCTCCTCATGCCATGTTCTTTCAAAGCACTGGGATATCAGTTTGGGAAAGGTGAGTTGGGCCAGTGTTGTACACAGTGCTCCCACTCCTGCCTTTTCTGTGTGTGTGCACGAGGAAATCCTGATGACTCCTAACTCACTGACTGCTCTGGAAATCAGAGGCTGCAGAAAGAAACTAGAGCAGAAGAAACTAACCTGGATTTTGCCTCTTCTGCCAACTGGCAGCTTTGGCACCAAAAATTATACATCTCCGTTTAATCACAGAAGAATCTTTTTCCTTCTCTCAGTTTCAGCTCATTTCCTTCTTTCAACAGCTTCCAAAAACCATGGTACAGTATCAGCCAAGCACAGCAAGGATCAGCCTCCTGAACCCTTTCCCCAAACCCCTGGAGCAGTGTGTGGTAGCAGTTGCAGGGCAAGGGCTCGTTTACAGACAGAGGAAGTACAGGTAAGTGCAAACTGATGGATCTGAGAACAGCAAATTGAAAAAGAGACACAATACAAGCTAGAGAAACCCTTGCACAGGAAAGGCTGTCCCCAAAAATAACCAGGCAACACCGTGGCAGGAAGACACTGCTTTAGCATGAAAGCCCCAGGCATTCTGTCTTTTATTTACATACAATACAGAAGATTTTCACACTCAAAAGGAGAAGCTAACAGACCTTCCAACAAATGTGTAATGCATAAGTTGAAGCCAATATGACATCTGTGAAAGCTTCAACCCCAAAGGCCTAGACAACAAAAGGAAAAGCCTCCTGCCAACAAAAGGATAACAGGAGAAATACCACAAGACTTAGTCAGAAACTCACATTAAATAAGACAAGTTAGAGGTCACTGAAATGAGCCATGAAGTTCAGAAATTATATATATTTGCTGTTGAGAAATCAATTACTTTTTAGTGAGCCACCTGAACATCCTTAAGTGGAGTAAAACTATACTGTTTGTGACATATCTTTCCACCCATTACCCACTGTAAGCAATAAAGACAGTCCCTGGGTACAATTGTAGTGGTGTCTTCCCCTTCCCAACTGAAGAACCAGGCAAATGTGACTTAGCCAAGAGTCATTCAAAAAGGTGTGCTCTCCTGCACAGGACAAACACCCCACATTTATCTGAAGAAGCTGCATTAGGACAAAGTCACTTTAGATGGCTCCATGGGAAGTTTCAACTTTCCTGTCCTACCTCCTGCCCAAACTGCTGTCAGATGACAATTCCATTGTGGTAGTTTAGATAACTGCTAGCTTTTTTCTATTTCTTTTTCTCCTTTCTTTTCTTTTTACTTTCACCTTTCAGGTTGGGATCTGTGCAAGCTAAAAGCACTCAAGAGCTGCAAATCCCATTCACCCCCATCCGAGCAGGGCCCAGGAGACTCACTGCACAACTTACCTGCCCTCAACTCCAGAACCTGAAGAGCTACAGAACTACTGACATTGCAGCTGCCTGAGGCCCAGCTTGGAACAGGTCCTGCTTACAAAGAGTGGTCATGATCTGTGCCCCAATCTTAGGCAAGCACAGATGTTAACAGTTTAATAAAAGTTAAGTTTAAAACCATGTCTGATTTTGATTATTTGTATAAATTCAGCTCTCTCCCATCTGGGACTCTGTCCACTCCCCAGTTGCAGAAGTTGAACCTTACTGTGACAAAGATGGGCTGAAGGCTCAAGCAGACATTTCTCACCACACACATGTGCTGAACCCACCACTGCTTAGGCAGTGAAAACAAAAGGATATCCTGGAACTTTAAAGTGATGATACATGTAGCATTTCTCTAGAGAAACACCCCTCTGCCCCTACAGATCCTTGATATTAATAAAGTAGTAAACAGTATTTTCTGCTGCTTTCTGAGGAAGTGAATAATAGAAAGCTGTTCATTGCTCTCTAAGGTTAAACAGGAAACAGCAACAGTGCAGCATATTTTATAATGGTTCATTGGGCTGCTTGCAAAAGAAGCAAGACCCACGCCTTCCTTCGGTATGTATCTTCTGCCACCTGAAGACAGATAAAGCAACTAATGCAAATCTAGCAATATTTTATTGTTCCTTGAACCCCACAGTAGTTGTAACGTCTGAAGAACGGGGCAGGTTAAGATGCAGCACTGCATCATCCCAAGAATCCAAGTAAAATGACAACTTCTGCAATGGCAAAGAGCAACTTCCTGGAAAAGTTTTTCCAAGTGGCAGTAAGGTTCTCTCCTAGAAACATTGTTCTCCTCATTCTCCGAGCAGCTGAAGAACAGCAAGATTCACTGGAAAAGCACATGCCAGAGCCAGTGGCAGCAACACACGTAGGCACAGGAGAGCTAAAGTTGACCCTGCGTGAAGTTCTTGATTTTGTTCATGTTGTGATCTACTGCACCATCTAGAAACTGCACCCAGCCTTCCTCTGATGGTGGACACACATGGCTTGTCCTGCAAAAGTGGAGGAAATTCATTAGGAAAGCCTCCTGGGTGTCCTACATCTATGCATCCAGGCAACACAGGGGTACTGTGAAGTGCTGAATAACCACAGCACTAAACAGGGCTTTGAGCAAGAAGAACCCACAGCCATGTATGTAGTCCCAAACCTTAACACACATGTGTGTGTCTTCAGTAGGAACTGCTTTCATCCCTACCACCCTTTTCTTAGTCCCATCCCTTTGTGACCAGATAACATCATAACTACTCCAAAATGCCAGCATTTACTGTCTAGAAATGAGTCATATTTGACACGAGGCAGAAAGGTCTGAACTTTCATAGCAGGGAACACACACTCATAAAACAGTAGCTCATACTCACTTTGCAATCTCTAAGACCTTCTTTAACACTGAGGCCAACTTAGCAGCCTAGAAGGAAACAAAAGGGAAATGAAGTGAGACAAACGTGAGGAAAAACAGGGTCTCAGCAGTACTGGACAGGAAAGAGAAATGTAGGAATGCTCAACAGCCAAAAATGAGTAAAACTGCCACCAATCCTGATGCAGAATGGAGCTATTTATCACTGCCAAGCTGGAAGTGTCTCCCACCCTACTGCTGGCTGGGACAGGTAAAAATAAAGACATGTATGGTTTTTAAAGCATACATTAAAATGCTTTATTTAAAAAAAAGACAAGCCTATTAGAAATTGGTAACTGATATTAAGATATGAAGTCACAAGTGACTGACTTGAATGCAATTTGATATTAAGCAATACTTTCCTTTTAATTGCAAAAAATCAACCCACTGGCCAAAGGCATGAAACCAGTTTTGTCACTGGACATCTCTACGGATTACAGCTCAGAGCTAAAGCTCCAAGTGGTCATGCCCTTCCCAGAAGAGGTAAAGATGAGGAATGTATTTCCACCTGAAGGAAGTTAAGTGTGCAAGAACCACTCTTTAACCCTAAGAAATCTTTACGGAGGCAGTCACTAACACCCACCTCTCCCTGACAGTCACATAACCCCTCCAATTTGATTTCTCCCCATTCCCTACAGCCCAGTCCCACACACAGGCTGCAGATACTCACATTAAGTCGCACAGCCAGAGGGTTCACAGGTGGGTACATGCTCAGTGCCAGCTCATCAACACTAGGATAGAAAAGAGGGGAGCAATGGAAGAAAGGTCCTGCCAGCACAACTCATGGATCCTGGTCAAAGCCCACACCCAGCCCTGAATGTAAGTCAGGAACAGCAGTGCATGACAAGCAGACATCAGTCACCCACGGGATGTGCCCTTCTCACCAGTGTGAGATGTGGCCATGGCTCCACCCCAAATTGCAGTGTCTGTTCCCCTCCTGACCTGCACAACTTTTAACAGCTTATGCTATAACAGTCTCTCCACCACCTGCTCACAACTGCAGTATCATAAAGGAGGTCCTAATCCATTCTCTAGACCACAAGAGAGACCAGGGTTGCTCCAGAGCAAAAAGCAGCACAGGGAGAGACCTGCTTACCTTGGACTGATCTCATTAGCAATGTCTGCAAGGTCATCCAGCTGAGCTATCTGCTCTGGAGAATCAGCTTTGCCATAGGCCTTCACTGCAGCCAGGACCTTCTTCAGGCAAGCTTTGGAAGCCTTCATTAACCCCATGCAGGAGCTCAGCAGCTGCCGGTCACCTTCTGACCAATATGTGTCTCTGTTGCCCCGAAAGCCCAGCTCTTCATCTTCCATGATGTCACCATAGGGATCCTGCCCTTCCACCAGTGCCTGAGAACACAGAGGCACTGAAAACCCAGAGCCTGACATCATTTCCAGCAATACCCAGGAGGAAAGGGAGAACATCATCTAGACATCATGCAAATAATTAATGGGGGAAATCTCAGTTGGTTAATCCTAGAACTGGATTAAGATAAACTAATCCTCCACTCTAATTCAACAGTGCAAACAGCAAGAACCTGGTAAATACTGCCATTCCTACATCACCCTAAACTTCCTCCCACAATCTCCCATGTCCCCCAGTTCAGGACATGGCTTTATGGATACCTTATATTAAGTAAACTTGGTTTGAGATTAAAAAGTCATTAAAATCCATGCAAAATCCTTATAATAACCTAGGTCATATCAGAACAAATTTAAATCAAAGCCTGTATAAAACAATCCCTGCATTCCATCACTGAACCACCATAGAGGGTGGTGGGGCACTGGAAGAGGGCAGTGGTCACAGCCCCAAACTTGCCAGAGCTCAGGCATTGTTTGGACAGTGCTCTCAGGCACATGGTGGAATTGTTGGGGTTGCCCTGTGCAGAGACAGGAGTTGGACTCGATGATCCTTGTGTGTCCCTTCCAACTCAGGATATTCTATGAGTCTATAATCCACCACTGCAGGTTCCTGTGAGGCTCAGGGGCTTCCTTACATGTTCCATCTCCTCCACAGCATCCTTGACCACACCCAGACACGCAGTCAGAGCTGATGCAACTGCTGCCTGGTTATCTGCAAAAGAAAAAGGATAAAAACTGTGGTACCCCTCTGCTTCAAATCAGTTTGCAACAACCTTCATCTGGGTTTGCCATCATTAGATCTTGAGACTGCAGGACCATACTTCTTGCAGAGCTCAGAGCTGCACTGTTGTCATGCAAAGAATCTGGCCCAGCTTCCAAGCTTATACATTTCAAAACCAGTCAGGTTTTGGAGAATGAGTGAGCCTTCATTGTACCACCTAGAATACCTTTGCAAAGGCTACTGATATTCCAAGATAACACATCCTAGTCCTGTTGTTCTGCATTTACAACACTCACCTCGTGGCAGGTTGGACACTTGCTCACATGCCTCCCACACACCTCCAGTGGATATAAGCTGTTCCTGAGACAAGCTGAAACAAAACAAAAGCCCCCAAAGTTAGACTCAAGTATACTTGTTAACAAGTATACTTGTAAATTTTTCTTCCCCTTTTTCCAAAAAATTATCATAAAATCATAGAATCATGTGATTAAAAATTACCTCTCCGCTGGAGCATTGAGAATTGTGTCTGTGAGCTGGATCATCCCTTCCACTACTTCAGTGGTAGCATCTCGCACCATCTTCCGGAGAGTAGTACCTGGGTGAGATTGAGAAAGAGCAAGAAAGCTGCCACAGTCAGCACTGACAGAAAGCAACTGCTGAGATGAACACAAAGATGAACACACAGACTGCTCTGTTTGTGTGGATAAGCTGCATAAATGAAGTTACAGGTATCTGGAAGGAAGTAAGATGCTTCCCAGTTCCAAAAGGACCCTGGACAATAATTTCAACACTTCATAAATACCAACACTCAATCAACTATACAACTTCCTACATTATCATTCTTCCACAGATGGAAATCTGCAGTAGACAGACAAGTAGTTCACTCATAAACATGGTCAAAGTCTACAGAACAGCTGATAATGGGATAACCTGCTAATGAAAGTTTGCTTTCCTGTGGATGCCAGATCTCATACTGTGCTCTGAAATACAGGGTTTCTTTATATAGGGGTGGCTGCCTCGCTGTCACTATCTCACCTTGGCCCTTGGGGAGCCAGTAGTACACTGTGGCAACTGCAAGAATGGCATTTTGGACATCTTCACTCAGCTTCCGGCAATCCTGAAAATGGAGATGCAAAAGGATCACCTTCAGATCGTCATGAGTAGCACACAGCTGCAGCATATTTAGAAAGTCTCACAAGCAATCTCTGGCTTTCAGACTGCTTTGAGAAAAGGGAAACATAATAATGGCTGTCCTGTTTGAGAAACAAATCCAACACAAGAAGAAAATACAAATAAACAAGATGTATACATAATAACCTGAGGGGTAACAAAACATGCCCCAGAGTGGTGGTCACACACCAGAGAGGAAGAAGTAGCTTAGATCATTATTCTGGAGATTTTTTATTCCTGTCCTCCAAACACAGGTGTGACAAATTTCTCTCAATTAACAGCAAAAATATTTCATATTCTTTGTTGGATCTAAAGTCTGTATTCTCCAATATTCTGTTTCTATCAGCAACTAGCTGCAACTCCTAAAGAACGTAAGAACACTTCTAGTAAGTATGTCTCCTTAGCTTATAGAAATTAGTTCTCTGGGCAGCTCTTGGATTGTGTTAATGAGCTCTACAGTACACAGCCCATAGTGACATCCCTTGTTTGCACTGGACCAAATTGTTTCAATCAAGTGAACCAAGACATACCTGAGCCTTCATGCACAGGGGCTTGAAGCCTCACAGTCTGTGGAGGCTTTCACTCACCTCTGCAGAAGGTAGTGGAGGCCTTGAGAATGCCAGACTCAGCTTTGTAGCTTCCTGTGACGTTACTTGGAATGTCTGACCTAGAAAAAATCCAACGGGAGCAAAAGAAAAGAAAGTAACTTGGGCAGAAGATAAAAGAACAGAGCGGCTTGATGAGCGACATCTCTGAGGCTACTACTTGATTAGCATTTCTTGCTTGATTAGCATTACTTCCTTCCAAGCCATAAAAATACATACACTAAATCCCACTCCAAAGCAGAATTCCATGGTGCCATGCATGTAGTTTGTGTCCTATGCCTGTTTTTTTTCTTGTTTTTTTTTTCTCATATAGCTGGTAGTGATACCCACAACCCCAGTCTGCATCTCGGTCCATGACCCCTTCACCAGGATGTGCTGGGAGGCTTTAACAGAGACCAAAGGCTCTATAAATTTTGTGTACCAGCGGTTCAATACCAGCTGCTGCTTTGCCAGGTGACCACTGTTGGGGCGGTCAGGCACTGGAATAGGTTGCCCAGGGAGGTGGTGGAGTCACCGTCGCTGGAGGTGTTTGAGCGGCGCTCGGATCTGGCGCTGAGCGATTTAGGGGTTACAGAGGCAGCGCTGGACTGACGGCTCGATGATCTTAAAGGTCCATTCCAACCCTGATGATCCCACGATTCCACGAGCGGAGGGTACATGCCAAGCGCCGGCTGGAGACCAGCGGGGGACGGGAGCCCTGCCCCGCAGCGGCCCCGGCACCCCCCAAAGCCCGGTCCATCCCCTCCCCGCCCGTACCTAGCGCGTCCCAGAAGCGCGGCAGCTCGAACGGCGCTCGGCCCTCGCCCGGCTCTCCCTCTGCAACGGCACAGACACAGCTCAGCCCGCGGGGAGCGCGGCTCGGCTCGGCCCCAACCCCGCCCGGCCCCGGCCCGCACCTCGCACCCGCGCCAGCACCGCCCGCAGCGCCCCGCGCACGTCCCGCAGCGGCTCCCGCGCCTCCATCGCCGCGGGAGCGGCCCCGCAGCGCCCCGCGCGTCACGTCCGCTCCCGAGAGAGGCCGCACCGCCCCTCCCGCGGCCCCGCCCCGGCCCCAACACACAAGGACCGAGCCAGGGTGCATCGAAAGCAGTTTATTAGCGAGGGAGGAAGCGCGGAGGCGGCGGGGTGTGCCGGGGTGTGCGTGGCTGTGATAGGAACGGGGGCTCACGCCCCTCTACATCAGCCGGCGGAGTTCCTCGAAGTTGAGCATGTTGTTGGCTACATCGGACCAGGCGGCGTGGGTCGCGCCGTCCATCTCGGGGGCCAGCCTGTTGCTGCTGTCCAGGGCGTGGTTTGTGCCCCCGATGACTTCATGGCACTCAGGGCACTTACTCTTTTCCATTGCCCCCCCACACTCCCCAATCACGTAGATATGTCCGTTTTTGCACTTGAACCAGTGGCCACGGGGACAGCCAACAGCTTTGACAATCTCCACCCGCTCAGCTTCAGAAATCCCCAGGCCTGACACAGGCAAGGCGCTGCTGATGTTCTTCATGTGAGCCTTCACTGCAGCCTCATCCTCCTCTGTGAATTTCTTTGTCCCTTCCAGGATCTCACGTACACTGGCGATCTCTGCCGCCAGCACTGGGGAGATCGTCCTACTTGGAAGGTTGCACCTTGCCAAGAGGTTCAGCAAATAAGTCAGCCTCTGGATTTCAGACTGCAGGTCAGAGAGCTCCTGTTCTGTAAAACTGATGCGTTGCTTAACCAGCCACGACTGGACTTCACGGAGGCGCATTCTCAGCCCTTGCTTCTCACTCTCAGCAATATTGCTTATAGAAGCTGTTAGGTCTGCTATACGTTCGTAGAAGTTAAGCTGGTTCTCAATTAATCCAATTCTCTTTGTGGACAGATCAGAAGCTTCCAGCATATCTTTCAGCATAAAGTACTTCTCCACTAGATTACTCTTCAGAACAGCACTCCTTGCCAGTGCAGCCTTCAGTCTTTGTCTGCTAGACTCAATTTCCTGTACTGAGCCATGAATTTTCTGTTTCACCCGTTCTATCTCATCCACCCGCCTTTTCACCCTGGTGCCATATCTCAGATTCTTTCTGATGGGTTTTTGACACAAAGGGCATACCTTCAGCTTGACCACATCATCGTCTTCATCCATGTAATGGTCAAGGCCTTGGGACTCAAAGATGTGGCCGCAGTCTTCGAGCTGTACAAATCGAGCATCTGGGTCGTCCTCGAAGCCAAAAAAGATCTGAGTGAGTTCCTCGTGGTCACAAACAAGGCACTTCTTTGGGCAGGGCTCTCCACAGAATCCAGCACAGGGATGACCACAGCGCAGCAGCTTAGGACATGGCACATTGCAGCGAGGCCTATTGCACGGCTCAAAGCAAAGGTTGGTACACTGGTAGTGCTGGCACTGCCACTCACACGGCTCAGCACAAGGAACACAGTTTTCACCACATTTCTTGTTACACTTACTGTGAACACAGTAGTTCTCACATTTCAGCTGACAGGGAGGGCATTCTGTAGTACAGGGCTCCTGACACTGGTGAGAGCAGATCAAGATGCGCTTGCATTTCTTGCTACATGCCCTATGAAATCTTCCTCCAAAGCAATTGTAACAGGAACCTGAACATGCATGACCACATGCCAGTGTGACAGAACACTTAGTAGAACATTTCACAGCCATCCCAGGTTGCCTCTCTTCCCTCTTAGCGATCCAGCATTCAACTGGCTGCTTGTGGCCACATTTCAGTGTGGCTGTGACCCGCTCAGGACACTGGTTCGTGCATTCCTCCCCACAGAAACTGTTGCATTTGTGTCCACAGTTCAACCTTTTCTGGCAATTTTCTTGGCATATAAATTCACTCTCTGGAGTAGAGCAGGGCACCATCTGCCTGTGGCCACACTTAGAAATAGTTTTCTCTACCTTCACGAGACATCGTCCACAGGGCATATAACACAGCTGTGGGCAGCGGTGCCCATCTGCACAAAGCACCTTTTGACAAGGCTTCAGACACCGGAACTTCTTGTGGTCCACGTCATAGGGGTGACATGCCCTTGTGCAAACATGTCCACAATTCAACCTAAACTCACAGGGACGATTACAGCCTCCTTCCGGGACTTGGCTGAAGTCTGCAGCTGTAGATACCAGTGTCTTGGTTTCGGGGTGGTTTTGACAGCAAAGCATCAGTGAGTGGCCAATGTGATCTTTCTCCCGAAGGGTGTGAATGATCTTGCTCCAGAGAGGAACCTTGCCAAGCATTCTCATGTTTCCAATACAGTACAGCCCTTTCTTAGCTCTGGATAATGCTACACATACCCGATTAGGAATCTGCAAGAACCCAATTCTCTCCTCTTTGTTGCTCCGCACCAGTGACAGCAAAATAATATCATTCTCCTCCCCCTGGTATTTATCTACTACGTGAACCTTTACACCTTTAAAGATCCTTGCTGGCATGAGGTTACGCAGACAGAAAAGCTGTCCAGTGTAAGTAGTGAGAATGGTGATCTGAGAAGGTTGATAATCCTGGCACAAGAAGTATTTGCACAGTTCCACTACAAACTGGGCCTCGTGTGGGTTCTGGTGGCTTTTCCCTTCCTGGATCTCTTGCTCAGGAAAATCATGTTCCACAAAGAAGAGGTTAGATGAGACACCCTGAAACAAGAGAAAGGATGTCAAAGAGAATTCTAGCTTCTGTCCCCCTAGGCTGTTTCCAGATGGAACCACAAGATTCTCCAGAATAGCTTCTTATAGGAGAAATGGGGTAAAATTTGTGGTCTCCTAAGTTGTTGTGTGTTTTAGGTGGTATTTTTGTTGTTTGTTGGGTTTTTGTTTGGTTAGATTTTGGAGCGGGGTTTATTTGGCTTTTTAATATGTTTAACTAAATCATTTATTGTACAGGTTAGACAATAAGTGATTAGTTTATATTTGTAAGCTGAATACATCCTGTTTGCACATGTTGTTTATTGGTAAAATGGCCAGAGAACCCAAGGAAGAAGGGTTCCAATAATCAAGTCACCTATTTTACGTTGCAGTTTCACATGTTGTGCATATGCAGCTTTCAATCTCCTACAATTCTTTTGTTCACTCTTTTTCTTTTAAAGTCATCAGTACTGGATCCATTTCCAGTGTCCACCATCACTAATTCCAGAAGAACTACAAATTCCTTACCTGATTCTGTATCACACATTTCCTTGATTTGGATATAAATTTCAATAAGTGAATTTAAGCTAAGAATTTGAAATCCTTGGGCACTGTATTTTACAGAAACTCCTTTAGCCTGTAACAGGGGACAAAAGCAATTGCTTGGATTTCTGAAAACTCACTTTTATGTTCTCATATTTCAGGACAGAGGGATGGTTCTCCAGCTCCTGATATATATGAGGACTGATAAGTTGGGCAATTTCCGGACGCATGCGGTGCTGAAACACAAAGCAGCTTTATCAGTCTTGAGGAAGGAGCACCAGATTTCACTGGCAATATTCTGTTGTTCCACTGTACAGACTGTGGCTGAATACAACACAAGGATGACTTTGCAGTAACAGGCAAGAAGGGAGCACTTCCCAGTCCCTGCTCTCCTCTACCCCATTGCTGACACCACCACCACCTTCAGGAGCAGTAATAGCAGAACATCTTCAAGACAATCACTTGGTAAGGTTGTTGTACAAGAGTGCTGCTTTCAGGGCAAATCTAAGAACACTTATTATAGGTAACAAAAGTCAGCACTTCGCCCTAACCACTACTAGGTAGTTTTAATACAGGACTGCTGGTGGTAGAATTAACTTCTCCAGGCATCAACATAGATGATTATAGAAATTTGGCTATAAATATCAGGGAGCAGCCTGAAAAGAATTGTGCTGTCACTCTCCAAAATTCTGGAGGTTTCAGACTCCACAATAAGCCATTTTCCTTGCACTAAAACATATGGAAACTACAATGCTGTGGACAACATGAATAATTGGAAATATATTGGAACACTGGTTGTGGCAGTTTGACAGCTCCTACCATTTTTCTCAGAAATTAAATAGTACATTCTTTTCTTTTAGGCTTCTCTTAGAACAGAAATATAAACTTAAGTTTGTAATACATAAACTTAAAACAACATAAATGCAAACGCAATGGAGTTTTTTTTACAGCTCTTCCTTACTTGGTATTTCAGACAGACAAAGGGGAAATCCACTTTGATCAGCCGTTCAAAGAGAGAGATTTCCAGATTGAAGTTCTTGGCCAGGTCATATACATTTGCACTAGGCTGCAACTGAAAGAGAAGGGATAGGAGCTCCATCTTTAAGCACTTTTCCTATGTGTCAGTACAATTTTTTCACTTATCTCATTTTCTGTCATTGGTCCCCCACTGGGGGGGGAATCCAGAAACTGGATTCTTGCAGAAGTGCTAAATATCAAAGTTAGATACAGTCACAATTGAAGCACATATAAAATTGTATCAGTTATACTAAAAGACCAATCCCACAGGAGCTCTACTCCAAAACTACAGGAGACAGGACCTGTGATATCTGTGGAAACTGGGGAGCAACAAGTCTTGGCAACCTTTCCCACATGGTGTTTGGTTAAAAGGTTCTAGTTCATTTGCACAGCAGTTAGAGGCATTAGTCATGAAAGTTACCTGCTGGTGATCTCCAATGAGGATGAGGTGCTGGCAAGCTTTACTCAGAGTAGTAATGGTGTGAGCCTCGAGCACCTCTGCTGCCTCTTCTACAATGACAATTCGTGGCTCTACTTTTTGCAAGATCTGTCGGTATTTGGCAGCACCTAAGCAAAGACAAACAGTAGTAGAATATAATTATATGTAAGAGTTTTCAGGGAGGGGAATAGGCTGCGTCAGAAAAGACTGGATTCTTCCCAAGATTCCTCATTTTCAGGACTCAGCTTTTTAAATTCTAAAACAGCACCACACCAGGGATGGCTTTGATATGAAGTGAAGGCAGGTGGGGATCAGTCCTATGCCTGCCTTGACCCTTTTCCAGTGCTTTCTTCAGACATAAAATACACTCAATACATTGATCTACACACATAAATAAACCTTAAATTGTCTCTCCAAAGGGAC